CTTCTTTGCTAGCCATGGATTTGACTCTTATCCATATGTGATACATTAAGTGCAAACAGCAGAGCTACACAATGATGCTTTAAAATTACCAATATTTCTCAAAACACTTTCGTGTCTAAAGAGTGAGTGATTAGTGCTGCTTTGGCTAATTCCATGATATGCTGACTGTACCAATGCTAGCAAGCACTGAAAACCTAGCAAACTGTTCGCTCTGTTTTTCTTTAATGTATGGGAAACAATAACAAATGTGCTGAAAAGCTGATATGTTGTGATGATGGTGCACCACAACTGAAGCATACAGTGCTATTGTAATATTCCACCAAAAACACATCAAACACATGGAAGCAGAAAAACTGGGCAAGAGGAAAGGAAACAAAGGCAGACAAGGAATGTGAGCATTAGATACCACATACTGATAAACAGCAACCCAACCAAATGAAGCTGGATCTAAAATAACTGCCTAATATAGCTAGACTATAGCAAGTTTAGCATTCTGTTTTGAAAAAAAGTTGAAGTCAAGCTAAATGTTAAGTTTCATCTTGACCAGTGTAACTAGAATGTAGGTTTTCTGACTCCAAAACAACAGGACTTAAAATATAAATCTAATAATTTGATTTCTAATTCCCTAGACTAACATCCTAATATAGCTTTCACACTGTATAGTTTATAAATAGGCAATTCAACTTTGGGATGGAAAGTAGTAATTAGTTTGCACTAGCACTACTCTGAAGTTTAAAGAGGGAAATAACTAACTGAGAGCTACAGGAAACATTTTATGTAGGCAGAATATAACTAGTTTAACTAATCTGGCCAGGACAACTGCTTTGTACATGCGATTCAGATGCCAGTTTTGCATTCTTATACGAGTTTTATATTGGTTTAAGTCCATGAACATCAAAGGAATTATTCCTGATTTACATCAGCATAGATTAAAATGACGAATGATCAATCCCCAATAGTCTACGCTTACACCTTGGTGAAAGAGGACTACTTTGGACTATGGAAGTAACAGTTACTAACCTTTCCATAACTTGGTCTTAGAGATGTGTTGCACACATCCGTCCCACTGACTATGTGTGTGTGCTCCAGAGCACAGTTGGAGAGTTTTTCCCATAGCAGTACCTGTTGTGGTGGCATGAGCATCCTCTCCTGCCTCGCACCCTGCACGCAGGCATAAAGGATTGGAGCCACCACTGATCCGACTAAGTTCCTTCCTGTTGGGAGGGTCCAAAAGACAGAAAACGAGAGGGGGTTGTGGAATAGACGTGTACAAAATATCTTGAAGAACTAGGTAACTCACAAGCAACCCAAACTGGAGGTGGGTTCGAAGTTTATTTGAACAGGGACTGGAGGACCATTTGTCCAAATTTAACAGTCTCTAGATTGTTGAGAGAGAGAGAGCGAGCGCGCGCAAAGTGAGAGGCAAATATGTGACACGATGACCCTCTATCAGGTAGTCAACTGGTAACGTAGGCAAACAACTAGATATAAAAAATGATATCCTTTGAGTGGAACAGGACTTCCTCTCATTTTGTTCATTGTACTTGCGGAGAATTGAGTAGAAAAGCTGAAAGATTTAGTCAGATCCAGATAAAACTCTAAAGCAGTGGTCCCCAACCTTTCCCTGTGGCGGGCGGTGGACGACTAGCCGCCGAGAAGCGGCAACGCCAAGAAGCGTCGCCGCCGAAATGCCGCCGAGAAGTAGCGTCAAACGACGTCGCCACCGAAAATCAGCAGCATTTCGGCGGCAGCACTTCTTGACGTTGCAGCTTCTTGGCAGCATTTCGGCGGCTGCTTGTCCGGCGGCCATGGCGCCCGCGGGCACCGCATTGGGGACCCCTGCTCTAAAGCTCTTCTAACGTCCGGAGTGTACAGTCTTTCCTAACCATTATTACCAGGAGGCTTTGGGAAGAAGGTTGCTAAGAAAATTGCTTGGTTAATATGAAGTGTTATCCACCTACGTAAGAAACTTTGGGTGAAGACGAAGGAAGACTTTGTATACAAAACTGTATACAGAAGGTCTAACACTAGTGCACTCAACTCCCCCAGTCTCCTGGCTGATGGCTACTAAAAATGCTACCTTCACTGAAAGGTGCAACAGACAGTAGGTCGCTAGAGGCTCGGGGGGGAGATCAGCTTTGTTAGGACCAGATTCAGGCTCCAGGGGGCGGGGGGGAAATAGGGTTCTGTATGTACAGAAATAGCCTGTCCAATCCCTTTAAAAATCTTACAGACATTGGGTAGGAGCAGTTAACAAGTAGATGGAATGCCGATATAGCTACCAGGTGTACTCTGATTGAGCTAATTGCCAATCCTTGATGTTTCAGGGACAGAAGATTATTCAGCACACACTGAATAGAAGTAAGGACTGAGGAAACCTCTTTAGGTTAAGACCAAATGGAAAATCTCTTTCATTTAGCCAGATAAGTAGTTCTAGCTGATGGTTTTCTACTATTCAGCAGCACATTCTGAACTTCTCTAGAGCAGGACTCCTTCACCAATGTTAACCATGAAGACGTCAGGTGAAAGGCCTGAAGATTGCAGGGGGTGGGGGGCGGTGGCATGAAGCGAGTGTGACTGAGGGGGACTGATTGATAGGTCTAAGAGCTCTGAAAACTAGCATTGACTGGGCAATGCCAAGGCAATCAGTATAACATGGGCCTTGTCCTGCTTGACCTTGCATAGAATCCTGGGCAGAAGAGATATATGGGGAAAAGCATACAGGAGACACACTGACCACAGCAGCAGGAAAGCATCCATCAATGAACCAGCACTGTGGCCTGCCCGGGAAAACTGGTGACATTTTCTGTTGTCTTTTACTGCAAACATATCCATTTGAGGAGCTCCACAGAGGTGGAAAACGGTCCGTGCCATGTCTGGCTTGAGGGACCACTCATGATGATTAACAACCTGCTCAGGTAATTGGCCAGCATATTCTGAGACTTGGGAGGCAGGCCGCTTTCAGAAGTTGCTGATGAAGAAGTCTCAAAATAGAATTGCTTCCCAGCAGACTAGTGAGGACCAGTTCCCACCCTGTTTGTTCTAAAGAGGATGGAGTTAGGCTGTTCAGTGGTGGCAGATGACAGAACAAGAAGCAATGGTCTCAAATTGCAGTGGGGGAAGTCTAGGTTGGATATTATGAAACACTATTTCAATAGGAGGGTGGTGAAGCACTGGAATGGGTTACTTAGGGAGGTGGTGGAATCTCCATCCTTTAGCTGTTTTCAAGGTCAGGCTTGACAAAGCCTTGGCTGGGATGATTTAGTTGGTGTTAGTCCTGCTTTGAGCAGGAGATTGGACTAGATGACCTCCTGAGGTCTTTTCCAACCCTAATATTCTATGATAAAACATGGCTGTTGGACTGTCAGTCAGCACCAACTTTCCCAATGTGTGGAAGGAATGCCATGCAAGATAATTCAATAGCTCGCAACCAAGGGCACCGGAACTGGGGAGGCCAGGGGCCATGGCCCTCCCCCTTTTTGAAAGTGGACAGGCCTGGTCCATCCACTTTTTGCCACGGCCCCCCGCCCGGTAAGTAGAGGGTCCATGGCTGCCGGCCCACTCCAGCTTCTGGTTTGGCCAGGGATAGGGTGGGGGTGTGGGGGCACTAAGGAAGGGAGTGAGTGGGAGGTTAGGGGCAGCTCCGCCTTTTATACCTGCATGAGGCAGCAGACTGGTACCACTAAGGGAAAAACTCTCTGACAACTGTGCACTGGAGCACATGCACACCTACAGTGCAATGGACGTGTGAAATCAAAGAAGAACAATCAGTTGTGCACTTTTCTGAAACATGTATCTACCACGTGTGTATACACATAGCATTTTCCATACCTAACCTATATTAACTTCTCTTGAGGTTAACAGAGCTAATAACTTGAGTTTTGTGGAAGGAGGATAAGCTGAGAAATGCCTTAAGAGATTGCATAAGGACTAGAAACATTTTAACATTTGCCTTTTCAAAATATAAAGCAGCCTATGAACCAAAAAAAAAAAAAAAAAAAAAAAATCCACACAATAAGCACATACCTAGTCCTATCTCCTCTAGAATTAAAGTTCCGTAAGCTTGTGGTGCAAAGCTGTTTATTCAATTCCCACTGTGGTCTGACTTTTATTAAGAATGTAATTCCTCAAGGCCAGAATCCCATTTAAATTTTTTCTTTTGGTTAATATAATGTAAATGTACATTTAACTACAACTGAAAATCTGAATGGATGTCTGCTGTATTTAATGTAGACACCATTTTTACTCCACCTGGCAGTAAATATGCAAAAGAATTCTCAAGTATTAGAAAAATGAGCATCTACTTTTCTTTTATTACCTTAGCATTTCCTGTTTTTGTCAGTTACTTAAGGCCAATTTTAAATATGGAAAGAAGCACAAAATTTGCAAAAAATCTAAACAGATTTAAGATGCAAAAAAATAAAGCATGACACTATGGGGAGGATTAAGATTTGGCACAAATATGTAAATTAAATCAGTAGTGATCTGCATTAAATCTCACAGTTAAACCAGTTAACACACTGTCTAGAGTTCTTTATTACACCCATGAAATAATTCTAAAAATCAAATTAAGCCCAACTTTCTAGTTTGTGGTTAAACACTTCTTTTAAAATAAAATACTGTTTTAAGTACAAATAACAAAAGGCAGTGCCTTAAGGAAAATCTTTACTCTTTTGGGGAAGGGGGAGGTTCAGTTGCCAAAAGAGATCAATTTACCTGAAGAATTTTGTTGTTGTTGCTGAATTTGTATCATTTTTGTGAAAATGTTACTCAGAGTACCTTTTTGTAGCTTAACTGAGAAGTCTTAAAGATAGGAGTTTAAAATGGAAATAGTAACTGACCCTTAACTATAGCAATGTGAATGTGACAATGTAATGAACTCATTCCATTTACCAAAAACACACATGCATTAATTAACTCTCACTGCAATGAAAGCATACTGTACTGATTGCTGTCTTTCTATAGAGAAAGATCTCTTTATAGAAGGCTTGCTGCCTTACCTCTAGGTCACAGCTGTATTCGGTGCCATCCAGGAGCATCACTTTGCACGGCACAGTTTTAATCTTCTTGGGAGCTTTCTGAGGTGCTTTCTCCATTTTGATTTCAGCTGTTTGTACCTCTTTGGTCTCCCTCTTTTCTTCTACTTTTTGTTTTTCTTCTTGCTCATCGGCAACTTTCTCTACTTCAATCTCTTTATTGTCTTCTTTAGCAGGCTGTAAGAAAGATGTAGTTTAATACAATAACAAGTCCAACCCTTTCAGGATGAAGTTGAAAGAAAATTCTTCTTTTCTGTATATCAATAATTAATTATTCTTATAACTATCCATTAAGGTTGTGCTCCCAGCTGGTGTTGTTTGGATGCATAATATATAGTTTTAAGGGTTCCCCTTTGAGAAAAGATACTGAAAAACAATTTTTCTATCCTAAAGGCCACTATCTTGATGTTAAAATTCTAGCAGAAGCAACCAGTCTCCCTATAGAAATCAAAATAAAAGTTACACTTTTTTCTTAAAAGCAACTCAAAATATAATGAGAAACTGCATTAGAACAGAACAACATTTAAGAAAAACTCAAGCCATAAGTGACACAGGTTTGAATTTAAGGACTGACATCTGACTCTTCTGAAGGCAAGACTTTGGAGCACTGCAGAGCAGAGGCACATGTACAGCACAGTTCCTCACATTTCAACACCACAGCCATCAGCATCTCAACACCAACATCCAAGCAGCAAGAAAAAGACAGTATCCATAATGCATAGTCTTGAGAGAATGGAAGAGTAAAGCATGGAATAAAATAATTGAGATCCTCAGGACTCAAAAATAACTACAGCAGATAATAAATGGATTGCTTCAGTCACTAAGGGTATGTCTACACAGAAAACAAACAAAACAAAAAACACCCCACGGCAGCAAGTTTCAGAGCCCAGGTCAACAGACTTGGGCTCACAGGGTTTGTATTACAGTGCTAAAAAATAGCTGTATGTGCACATTCTGGCTCAGGCTGGAGCTTGGGCTCTAGCCTGAGCCAGAACGTCATAGCACGAGCCCCACAAACCCATGTCTGAAGAACTGGGCTCCGACCCCCTGCCGAGGTTTTTTTTTTGGGGGGGGGGGGGGTGTAGACATACCCTCAGTAGCACGTCACTAAAGTCAGCCCAAGCAGAAAAACTGCACAAAAATATAAACAGGGAGCCATATTAATCCCTGGTGTAATTTCAATACATGACATGTACTTCAGAGGAGTTACAGTAGCAATAAATCTGGTTCACTGACTAGCCGTTAATATTTTCTTTAAATTTATTAGTTTTCCACACATACCTGTGTGTCAGCACTGCTCACAGAATGCTTCTCTTCTTCCTCCTTGTCATCTGCTTTAGCCTCCTGTTGACTCTCAATTGTTGCTTCTTCCAAGTTTCCCTTTGGCTGAGCCATATCCTCTGGAAGTTGACTTTCCCTCTCCTCCATTACCGGTCTTTCCTCTACAGGTTTTTTCTTGACTTCATCTTTGGGCTCCACCAAGGTATATGATTTTTGTTTCTTAAGCCATGGGGGGATAAAGCGAGAGATTCCCTTGCCTTCAGATGGATCTTTTTCCTTCTTCTGACTACTTGGGCTGCTTTGGGTAGCTAGTGCTGGGGAAGGAGGAGAACTTTGTGCCTCTTCAGAGAGTGTCTTTTCAGACTTTTGATTTTCCTGACTCTCTGTTGCTTCCTCGTGTGTTTCCTTGGCTGCATCTGCCCCTAGCTGCTCAGATTCCTTCTTTACTTCAGTCTCTGGGCCAGCTTCAGTTGTCATGGTCACAGATTATGCTAGAAATGCAACAATAAAATATTATTATACATTGTTTCAACATTCTACTTTTTGGCTCTCAACACCATTAATAGGAATAATCTAAAAATTAAGGCACCATACATCAATTTTGTTAGGATTAAAGAGCTGTTTTAATCCATCCTATTTAAGATCTTCAACCAAAAATAAAAGTAGCAACAAACCAAAATCTGCTGCCATATTGGACATCTGGAATTTTCAAAAATGCTTATGCTAAAGAGATACATTATGCTTCAATGCACCACAGCTTTCCTCTTGGAAAAGTGGTAGGAGTGCTCCATGGTTCCTAGAATTAACACTGAAATACACTTGCTACAATAGGGTGCTCTTAATGTTAAAGACAGACTAAACACAAGAAGTGTTCAGTAAGTAACTTTCACTCTTTTTCTGCAGGCTTTTCAAAGCAGTCTAATGGGTCTCAAATTTCAGGAGGAGTTGGGCACCTACCTCTCCTGGGCTTGTTTGAAAATCCCAGCCATACACTGACATCGTGGCCTCATTTAAGTCAATGAAAGTTTTACAGTTGACTTCAAATCGGAAAAGGGTTTAATCCACAGTGTTTACAACATTTTTATACATTTCCACCTTGATCAAAACAGTGCTTAGGGGGAAATTATTCAAAGGAAGAGTTCTCTCCCCTCTTTTGTGCTTTTCGGGAGTACATTTCCAATCCCATCACTATTCACACCCAGCATTCTAATTAACTTTAATGAAAATATTAAAGGCTATTTTAATTGGAACAGCTACATGGTCTCCTTGTTAAAAATAAGATATGTTGATTGTACTGAGAATGGAGGGCACATGTAGAATGCTAGCAATCAAGCCCATGTATTTGACAGCTGCATACTAATAGCTGTTAATGGACAGGCAATTTTTGTAAATGTTTTATTTTAGTCTAAAAATCAAATTTGTCTCATGATTTCAGCAGGATGGGAATAAAAAAAAAACCCGATTCCCTAAAACAACTTGAACACAGGGACAGAGAAAGTGGAGTGCATCCATATTTAATGGTTCCTGAAACATTTATGGGCTATCAATATAAAAATGCCTTCAACAGACCTTGAATCAAGGCTGGTCTCTGAATCACAAGTTTACATAAGAAAGCATCAGAACATGATACTTTTAATCTCCATACATCTTTACCCAACCCCTTCTTAAAAGCTTAGGATAAACTATTGGCATAGCTAGATGGCCTGAAAGTCAGCAGATTGCAATAGAATTCATTCCAACCACTGACACCAACAGGGCACCCCACTGAAAAATGCCTGCCATTAATCCCTCTTGTTTAAAAACAGTAGACTATTAGTTTAGGGCCCCTACTGACTCTACAAATTCTAAATCATGCAAGGACAGAGGTAGTCTCTACATTAATTAATTTAGTGATTTTGAGTCATACATGCCGCCTTAAATTGCACTCAGAAACCAACTGGAAAAATTGGGGTATTTTATTCCTGGCAGGGAGCACCAGCAAGTGGGCTCCCAGTTTCTGCAGTAGCTAAAGTTTCCAAATGGACTTCATGTCTAACCACAAATGGAATTAATACAGTAAGCCAAACTGAGGTGACAAAGATACGGATAACAAATGAGAGCTGCATCCACCTAAGAGGTCATAAGCCTTCTTGTCAAATGGAGACGGTCACTGCTGATACTTGGACATCCAAAAGCAGCATATGGTGTCTTTATTTAACACAGTTAACATAACTCATTTTCACTGAGAGGCTTGACGGATACATAGGGCACAGTTTAAAATCACCTACTCATTATTACAGTTGTGCTGAGCAACCAGCCATGACCAGCAGCAAGAGAATGGAGGTCAGTCAAAGCATTGCATGTTTGGGGTTAGGATCCACCTCCACCACCAAAAGTAAAACCAAATAATCTTCCTCGAATAAGATACTGTAGTAAGTGAGAAGTTACAAGAATATTAACTGATAATATTTGAGTCCTACAGTCACATAATGCAGAGATTTGATTTAAGCTCACATTTAAATACTCAAGTTTTATACTTGTTACTTTCCCTAAATTGTTATAAAAAAAAAAATCAAAGAAAAGCAAAGCACTTTTGTCATGTTTAATAGATTTCTAGTGGCACTGAATGCTGCTTTTATATAACTACCTAATTTCAAGATTAAAGCAGAATTTAATTTGTGATTGAAAATATGGACTGTCCAAATATTTCCCTAAAACTAGTTTCTAAATAAATCTATGATTTCAGGAAATGCCTGGATTTAATGTAAATTATGCCAAATCTGAAATGCTAGCTATAAATTTGCCAGATTCTGAGAAGTCACTCCTCCCAGAAAACATTTAGGTACAAATGGGCAACAAATTCTATAAGAAATCTGGGAATTCACATCTCAATCAACCTAGAAGAGCTTTATGATTTAAATATCAAACCACTACTTCAGCAAATAGAAAAAGACCTGGAGTGTTGGGGGAAGAATGCAATTTCTTGGTTGGGAAGAACAGCCACAGTCAAAATGAACATTTTGCCAAAGATACATCTTTCTTACTTCAAAATCTTTCTGTAATCATCCCAGATAAAACTGTGGCAGGAACATAGAGGATGTCATTAGAATTTATATGGAATAAGGGGGGGGGGGGGGACCAACAGTGAGTGCAGATACATTGTATAAACCCTTTACATGGGTGGACTAGCTGTTCCAAATATTCAGTGGTACTTTCAAGTCAGCCAGCACGCAAAGCAGTAGTGAACATTGAGCTCTTTGACCCAGACCAACCCCGGTCTTTACTGAACATGAAAACTGTGGCAGTGAAAACATTGCTTGGCTACCAATTAATTAAAATTAATAAAAAAAAAAAAATCACTCTCCAGAAATTATACACTTCCTTTTAGCAAAGGCTATTTTATGGGCTTGCGATAGAACTGAAGATAAAAAATTCTTTCCCCTCACCCATGACACCCATTGCAAATAATCCCGATCTTAACCCAAATCATGAACCAGAGAGCTTTGAAGACCGGGAGAGCCATGGAATACATATGGTTGTCCAGCTACTCAGTAAAGAAACTTTTCTAAATAATTTAGACATTAAAACTAACTAACTGACCCACTCTCCTGTGGTACCCGTACTATCAAGTTAGACACTATGTTTCTCAACTTTCTAAAAAAATGGTTTTATACAGAAAACTAACTTTAATAGAAGCAATGGCATCTGGTCAATTAGGAAACTATCACCAATTGTTGAATATTTATTACCAAATAACCTTTTGGTAATCCTCCTAGGGCTTCCTAGCAGAAATGATCACACAAAAGAAAATGAATTAATTTCTCATCTGCTAGGCTGCCTCTCACTGGAAAAAGAAAAAAAAATAGTCCAACTATAGAGGAATAGTTAAAAAAAAAAAATAAGGGAGGTTGTTATGGAAATACTAACACACCAATTACATACCCAGCATAAAATGGGCAGAAGAGAATTAAATACTTGTATAAATGACAACCAAATATTAGAAGTACATTCACTAGCATACCTGTTCATTTTTTTTTTAATATTAACAATTGATAGACATGCCTGCTCTGTGAAATATGTATAATCAGAGATTTCACTCAATTTAATAAAAAAACTAGAAACAATGTCATCGGTATTGTAATTATGTTCACTGTAATATGGTAACACTCAAAGAGAGAAGTCTGATGATTACATTACTGTATAATATCTCTAAACAAAAGTTCACTGTTGTAATGATTATTGTTTTGTTTGACATTTACATGGCAAGGATTTTTTAAATCTGTTTATACTTCCTAAAATTGACACATTTACTTAAGTTGCTACTAGTCAAATCACATTTTGCTATTTATTTCTACTTTTACATGGCATTACCAAATTTCTCTTGCATGCACATATCCATCCCAACACTGCTACCAGAGCTAGAAATTATCTTTTCTGGGAAACAATCCACAAATATCTGCTTGCCAAAGAAAACTGATCTATTAGGCATTCTTTTGCAAGTATAGTATAGTCAAATTGTAAGTTTCAGTATTAACTGTGGCAGTGCCAATTGAAACTGATTAGCTAGAAAACAGTAATCTAGCCTTATGAAAAAAATTAAGTGAACTTCAAAGTGGCATCTTCTATTTGAGAGCACATTTTCACATATTTATTGTTCCAACTACCACCCTAAAACAATATTTGTGTATCTATATAAACTGCATCCTCCTCCCTATCATTATAAGGGGTTTGTCTACACAAACATTTAGTTCACAGCAAACTGGGGTGCTAGCCTACTGGGGACTACCTGGCCAGGTGGACTTGGCTGACTGGGGACTCAAAGCTCATTAACAAAACTATTAATGTGCATGAGCAAAGTCTAAGTGGGCCACAGCAAATAACTCTGCGGGCCACGTGTTTGAGACCCCTGGTCTATACGGACAGCTAGTCTGCAGCAAGCTAGTGTGAAGTAGATTCATACCCCAGCTTGCCAAGAACTAAGTGTTGGTGTAGACAAACCAAAGCTTTTGGAGGCTATCATTGTCTTCTCTTCAGCCTGCTTTCAGTTTGGGGAGGACAGAACCAGACCTTTTGGTCACTGGCAGCAGAGGAATGCCCCATCTTCCATGCTCCCTCTGATAAAGGTAACTTCCACAGCCAGGATAATCCAAATCAGATTGTGTTAAATACTTATATTGGAGAGAATGTAAATTCCACCAAAAAATGAACCCAAAATCTTGGATGTTAATTTCCATCTACTCTAGATGCTCCATTTGTCCGCAGGTGGCCTATACTTGATGAAAGGAAGTTTTCAGGTAAGCATGTGTTAAGGTCCACAGATCCATTGTAATGAGATTTTCATAGAAATATGACTCTAGGGTGGGAAGCATGATCATCCTTTAAATAGGGACATCCAAAATGAGGTAGATTATATATAAATATCTCCTCCTCCTTCACTTAGGCTCTAAGGTCTGAAGGAGGAGAAGACACCTGCCAAAAGAAAGGAAATGGCATTGACTAAACTTGGATAACC